CTTTTCACACACACACATTATTTGTTATTATCATTATTTTGTTAAATTTTTAAATACANATACAACTATATATGTATATATTTATATATAAACATAACTATTATAATATTGCCTTACTAGTTTTTATTTTTGATGTTTTAAAGACAATGTAACGCTAATTATACACAAATCTATTATAGTATTTTATTTTTTATTCTTAATTTTTTAATAATTGATTCACTATGACATTTATCTGTTGTCATAGTTTTTTACTTTCTTAATTAAATATATTTTACTTTTTTACACATACCGTAAGTAAGTTTCTTATATCACGTAAAAGCTAATAATTAAATAATTAAATATGATATAAATTATTAAAGTCACTTTCAATGCAGTTACTCTTTTCAATGTTCGCGATAATTTTATGGTAACACATGGCTGTCGGTATTATTGGTAACCGCGTCGGTATGTGTCATCGGTCACCGTGCCGGTACATATGGATTAAATCTCGGGCCGCTGGCGCGTGCTAGTAGGAGGCAGCCGGAGGAGAACTACTTCTCCTCACGGCGCACGATATGGTGCTCCGCACTGTACATGACTTATACTGACTTTCAAATGTCGTAAAACTCAAAAAAATTTATAAAATCTTATAAATATATAAAAACTCTAAATGCATTGGCTTTTATGAATTAATTACTATGCTTGTTCACATTCTATTATATCTTTTCCTTTCTCTTCTCTTTTCTTTCTTTGTTTTGCAAAACGTAGCCATTCAGCTACGATGTTGTCGAACTCCGTCTCCGTCATCGGTGAATGTTGTAAAATAATTTCTTTTGGAAAGAAAAATAAAATTAGTAAAGTACAGCAAATTTTGACTTATACATGTACAACATACTTCGCATAATTTTAACAAAATATAAATCTGAAACTTTAAAATTATTTTGTATTCTTTTCCAGGAACACTTTATTGCACAATCATTCGTAAATGGGTGATTCTCTGTGAGCGCGTAAATTTCAACTTTCAGTTTTGATAAAAAATAATTATTATTAACTAACGGATAGGGGTGAATTATGTTTTTTCATACCATTTTAAGTCACCATTCGTAATATGAATACGTGACTATGCAATATAAAAAACTTTTCTATGTTTTTTATGTCAATATACCACGGAGATTACAGTCCACGGAGATAACGTTTTTTGAGAATTACCCAAATACTTTTGATAAAGTGCGATGAATAGTATCTCTTAAATTATTGCCTCCAATTTTTAGTAAAAATTCTTTCTAAAAAGAAACAGGACAATTAGAATACATTCCATTTTCTTATGATAATAATCAATTTCAATTACATGATAAAACACAGTCAGTATAGAAAGATACAAAAATCGTGAACACATAATCAATTATTAAATTGACAAATAAAGTTATGTACTTACAAATTGCATTACCGCTTCATCAGTGTTCTTTAGACTCGAATTCTTTTATATTTTCAATAGAGTTAAGAGGTAATATTTGTGCGATAAGACTATCATCGCTGCTACTTCTCATTGTAACGGCACTACTTTTTATTGCATCCTCGAGTCTGCTTACACGTTGCTTAATGTCTTCTAACAATAAATTTGCTGTTGCCTGCATCCGTAGTAATTGCTTGAAATATTCTGCAATATAAGTGCCGTGATATATATAATTGAATATAATGTTAATATATATTATCAAAGTAAATATATATGCTATTATTTATACTCATATAAATACTGAAATGTCATAATATGTAACACACATATGCAGAATACATAATAAAAATATTGTATAATGCTGCTTTAATATAATAAAAATATATATAAATAAAGAGGAACAAAAAAACTTCAATAAAATATTCAAAAAAGGAAGGCCAATAAGAGCCTTAACACGGATGTTAGTGTGTAACAATTAAGGATTTATTAATATTTGATAGTAACGTTTCGATCCTAGGTTTGGATCATCTTCAGACAAACGCCTGTACAAAAAAAAATATATAAAATGCATATATAAAAAAAGATTATAAGAAGCAACGATTTCTTTTGTACCACCTTTTTACTTAAGATACGTTGATAACGTCGCCATGGCCATTCCGAAAACTTGTCATGGTCAGGTTTTGGACGTCTTTAATTCTTATCACAAGAGATTACAATTCCTGATGGAAGTTAAAGAGGATAGTTCTTTGAATTTTTTGGACGTCACATTGATCACCGTTAATAACTTTTTAATTACTGACTGGTTCCATAAACCAACTTTTTCGGGACGTTTTCTTAATTTTTTCTCTTACCATCCAATGTGTCAGAAGAAGGGCACCATTATAAGTTTAGTGGATAGAGCGTTTTTGCTCTCTCACCCTTCCTTCCATAGAAGGAATGTGCAGGTTTCACAGAAAAATTTTTTCTTTTTTCTGGAAACATATACTGTTATAAAAACTATAAAGAAATTATTACTTCTAAAATTATGTATTATAATAATAACAATAATAATGATAATGATGTTAATAATACATACATACATACACACACACATAAACATACCACTACAATAGTGCGATACGGAAGCTTCAGTGGTATCACTTCTTGCATCATTATTATTTAGAATGTCTACAGATTTATTACTGTAAATATTGTTTAATATAAACTTGTCGGGACATGATGGTACGGTAGAAAGTTTAACGCTTGTGTTAACCACTTTTTCTGTAAAATATTAAATATTAGTTTTTTAATTTTAATTTTTTTATATTAGTTTATAGTATTTAAAGAATAAACTTTCATACTATTTTAGTCTTATCTCTATTCTACAAAAATGACTCATAAAATAAAATACAAGTATGTAATTATAATAAATATAATATAAGCCTCCTTTTACCGTTTTATTAAACTTTAACATGAATTCGAATTCTTTTTAAAAGATTTAATTGACTTTGAAATGAGAGATAGTAAAACATGTGCTTGTAATACATACTTTTAGCCTTGAGAGATACGCAGTTTGCATTAGTATCGCTATACTCTTCGTCGCTGCTATAACGATTGTAAAATACACGTCCTAATCGTTCCTTATCAGTAGTTTGATAAGAGGCATCAGCTGCACTTTTTCTAACAGATTCAAGAGAAGCTACAAGAAGTGAAAAGAATGGATATTTATTGCATACTTACTTTTGTTAATTTTTAAGGAGTTTTGCATTTTCTATACAAAATACAATTATTATGATAAACACGTATTTTTTAATTGAATTTTTATGTGTTGCACTAACCCAGTAAACAATTTGTTTGCAATTTGCCAGCGAGTTGTCAGCAATTTTAAGCAAAAATACTCAGAAAATTGGCGTTATCTGTGTCCGCATTAGGCTTGGAGTTTGTTGCCAAAGCTTGTCGACAAAAAATAACAGAAAATTGCTACTAAAAACTGAGCAAAGCTTGATAACATAACTTGAGACCAAATTGACGCCAAATATGAAGCAAGATCTGCGCAACACGATTTGATAGCAAAATGACATTTATAATATAAAAAAATGACTTAGATTTTTTATTTATGTTCTTGAATAAGTTTTCTTGGTTATTCTCTATGTTGTCTTAATATTACCTTGTAGAAAAAATCCATTGTGTCAGAAATCATCTCGACTGGATTCGAACCTGGAACCTGGAACCCTCTGATTACCAAGCGGGCACTCTATCAATTTAGCCATTGAAACTTTCACAATCAATTACTTTAAAACTAATATGTTAATGGCATTTAGTGATATTGTTACTGATTCTAAATAAAACTATTTGTTACTAGTAAATCAGCGAATTTTTAACTGTTTCCTAGTAAAACTAATCTGTTACTGACACTTAACTTTAAGAGAGGCATTTTTTCACTGCAAATCAGTGATATTATCACTGAATCAATTAATGAAATTTTAATTGATTCTATTAGGAGAATGCAGTTTGGTCATAATACTTAATCGCTTTTCATATCTGTTTAGAAAAATTCAATTATGTGCTAATAAACGATAAATATCGCGTACATGCATAATATAAGTTATATTTTTTGATAATATAGAAATATTGTAAAATTATTTAAAATTAAATATTATACAGACAAGTAATTGTTGTAAAAAGTATAAATATTAAAATATTTTACATAGATGTCATTTTAATATTTATATAATTATTGTCAATTTAATATTCAAATGTAAACATAATTTTATATACAGGGTGTCCCAGAATTGGTTTAACATCTCTCGTAGACAGGTAGAAGGAATAAAACTGAGGTGAAAAGTCCTATACCATTTTGCTAGATTCGCAATA